CCGTGTTATTATCCAAAGTTAATGTAAACTTGAATAATCTTATTCATTTGAATGTAATAATGATGTTGGTTGTTGTTTGTGGAAGCTCCAGTGAATGAGCCCCATTAACTGAGTTTTAAACATCACTTTAAATGGAAGATCCACATAGGCCCCGCCCACTCAATCGGATCGGCCGATACTGATTCCGGCGATCGGCCCCAAAATTGGCGATCGGAGCATCCCTAGTTGCTCGTACAGGAAATTCTAAATAATTACTGTGATTTGTTACAAAACTGAACCAGATTTGTAACCATTTTTCTAAAGACATTTTCAAGAATACCAGGCGTTCATTATTTCATATTATTTATCTGGGAGGTAACAAGAGAACAAGTATTATTTCTGCAGCCCTTACCCCGGCAGGACTTCGTCTCCGAGGAACCTCTCTACGACAACGGGGTCTTTAGTGAGGGAGATTATCCTGAGCATGTCAGCCACCTGAAGAACGGGAGAGGTTAGAGTGCACTCTTTAAATATATCTCTACTGTGAAATAAATGCATTTCATCAAAACACACATTCAAATTGTGAAAAATAAATAAAGACGGCCAAATACAGCCAACAACTATACTTTATCAGTAATCTTTAACTTCAAGAATCTCACCTCCTCTGCCATCTGATCAACATCCAGTGAGTCAGACTGCTTTGCTGAGAAAAGTCTACACAACTCGAGCCTCAGTAACGCCTGCAGCTTGCACCTAGAGGACACAACCAGTGTTACTGACCTTTATAACGTTTATTTGACTTCAGAATACAATCGCAATATTACCTTTATTTACTATACCAGACAATAACACAGTTACACAACCCCAGAAGAGAGCCATTATAACCACAGCTGTTAAGTGGCAGGTCAACGAGCTGAGTTAGACAGCTTTTAGACATCGAAGATAAAACAAAGATCGAAAGCACTCACTCGATGACTTTGCTGTCAACATCAGCAGCCGAGCTATAGAGCTGCCGGATGGACTTGCTGGTCTTGAGGAGGTTCTGCTGGACAATCTGAGAGGTCTTTACCTGCGAAGAACACAACATTTTAGATATGCAAGATAATCACAGTACAACTGTCCACTGTATTGCGACAGTGGACATGCATATCCTGATAAAAACCAATCCGGCAATGTACCAAAATGAACTAGGAAATAGTTTTGAGAACAGAAATCATGTTTGATTTTCCACAATTGTGACGCACAATCATCTACCGACCAGAGTTCCCGTTAGAATATTTTTTCGCCGGTCAACATGTCCGTTAAAGTTGAAATCTTTCGGACAAAATAAGAAAAGTGCCGGTCAAAGGTCTTCTTTGTTATTTATTGAGCTTTAAAACAAATTGATATGATTCGATATTAAACAAACTAATTATAGTAGATTAACTATATTATTCAAAAGTGAACAGTAACTTACAATAACACGGGAATAAACGGAGCGCTCTCTCTCTCTCTCTCTCCTGACAGCTCGTCAGTATCATGCAGCTCGCGGATCAGTAATGAGTGACCCGACAGTAAAACTAAACATATCTATAACTAGTTTAGGTAGTTTGAGAGGTAATTAAAATAGCTACGTGTGATATTCTAACCTGAAGTGTGTGTTTTGTTCCGCTCACCGCTGCATGTGATCATGCAGAGCTGCGTGTGGACTCGTCAGCAGCAGCTGATCTCTCTCTCTCCCGTCAGATTAGACTTCACTCGCGTTTATGTCCATATCGATCAGATCTAGCTAGTTCTAGCTAATGATATGACTACCTGCTTATTAAAAGACACCTAAACAATAAGTGTCGCTATGCAACGTGGGTGAGGCCACAAAGTATAGTGCAGCATTT